CGCTACCTCAAGCTCTGCCGCTGCTGCTCCTCCTGGCAAATGGCAGCAGATGGAACTTCGTTTGAAGACGGTCCAGCAGTCACTTCAACAATGCCAAGCAGCACCACCTCAGGACCACTCCATGGGTGTCGAGGCCACGGATCGCATCGACCGCTTGGAGTCGGACATGCAGGAGCTCAAGGCCCAGAACTACAAGTTTGAGTCTTGGTTCCAGGAGGCAGCCCAGTCAGATCAGGACATGACGCAACGCATCTCCGTTGTCGCACAAAAAGTACAAGCACACCAGGAGCAGCTCCAGGGACTCCAGCACACTGTTCATCAGCAGGGAGCCACCATTCAGTCTGCAGCTGCTGATGCGTGCCGAAATGACTCAGGGCTTCTCCAACATTGAGGCCCTCCTGACCAAGAAGCACAGGTCGTCCTGACTAGGACGACGGGTGGCCTTCTTCTTTTCTTCTCCGGCATTTTGGCTACTTGATGGTTTGGATGGAACTGGTGGCTGTGGGTGCCGCCACTACTCCGTCGTCAAGTCCCTCTACCTCTCTGGTATGGCCCTCAGGGCCTTTGCACAGCTTTGATTTTGAGCTCGGTGGCCTCGACCCGGTCGCTGAGCAATGTGAGTGGGGCGGTCTGCCCCCTTTTCGTTTTGGTGAAGCTTCACACCCTGGTCCTCATCGTCTCACGATTGGGACATGGAACCTCAACGGCGCGCTGGGCAAGGAGGACTACATCATGTCCCTCCCCAACGGCATTTGGAATCTCAGTGAGACTCACCTCACTCTCGCTGGTCTTCATACCTTCAAGAAACGTATACAGGGACGTGCGTCACGGGACCATCGTCGCCTACAAGTGCTTCCTGGTGCTCCAGTACCGCTACGTGGAGGCGCTCGAGTTGCGGGTGTTTGGTCAGGTGTGCTGCAGACTAGCTCAGTTCCGGCTCGCCAGATCCTGATTCCGTGGCCACACCAGGAGTATCATCTGGGCCGAGTGCCTCCTTCTGGGTAGGAGCAGTCAATATCACTGGAGTCAACCTGTACGCTTGGCCCCGCTCGCCTACGTGGCCATCCTCGAAAGAGTGGACCAACGACTTGTTGGACCACATCACCCAGCAGGTGGTCCTTGGCCGTTCTGGTCCCCGATTTGTCTCTGGGACTTCAATCACCCCTCGGAGCTCCTTCCTGATCTTGAACTTTGGCATCAACAAGGATGGCGTGAACTACAGGACCTGGCCCAGGCCCGCTGGAATCTACCTCCTCGTCCTACTTTCAATGGCACGTCTTGCATCGACAAGATCTTCGTCAGCCCCGAGTTGGCGGCCATGCTCTCCCACGTGGATCTTGCCTGGGAGGGTACGGGACATGCTCCCCTTTACGGCACCTTTGAGATCCCTGACCTGTCTCATCGCGCCCTCGCCTGGCCCAAACCTGGCCTACTGCCCTGGGACTCCTTCAACGTGGAGGAATGGCAGCACTCCAACCAAGAAAAGCCAGCACTACCGCACGCGACTGACCTCACCTCAGCCTACCAGCACTTTGGCAATGCCTTTGAGGAGAGTATCACTCCTCATCTGGATGACCTTTCTTGAACTCCTGCCATGGTCGTGGAGCTCGGCTTGATCCAGAGGACCGCGCTGTTTCTGCTCCTCTTCCCCGCCCCGGGCGTCCTGGAGATCCTCAACTTGTCAGCGACTTTGTGAGCCGCGCTATCATCCACTGGTACCAGCAGATGAAACGCCTACAGCACCTATGCCATGCCACCAAGGGCAATAAGAGCCATCCTGAAGCTGTTCTACATCGTTCCGACACCTGGCGAGCAATCTTGCGCGCCAGGGGATTTCAGGATGGTTTCTCTACCTGGTGGTCTTCTCGATCCGTGAAGTTGCAAGGTTCTCCACTTCACCTTCCGGCACAACCCCCGGCTATTGATGTTCTGCTGCTGGTCAAAGATGACTTTGAGGGGCAACGATCCCAGGCGCTCCAGCTGTCCCTACAACAACATCGGCGACGGCTCTTCCAGTCGGTCAAAGCCCCCTCGCCAGGTCCTCCGCAATCGCTTCAGAAGACAGTCTCGACCACCATCCTTGCAGTTAGTGATGATGGCACGGAGATCCATACTGAACACGACCTCGCTGCCTACGACCATGTCCAATGGACCATTGCGGACAGCCCGGCAGAAATCACCCTGCTCGCTCCCAACCATCTCAAAGTGGAGTCGGATTGCCTCCTCATCCCGGGTCAGGAAGTTCAGGCGTCCATCGAGCTCGTGACCCCCAAGGACGTCTTTGCGGAGCTCAACAACTTCTGGTCCAAGCGTTGGGCTAAGATCACCTGCATTCCCGACAGCACCTGGAGACGCATCACGGCCTTCTCGCGTGCCTTTCTGCCCAGCAAACCCTTACAGCTGGAAGACCTTACTGCGGTTGACTGGTCCCTTGGCCTGAAGCGCTTTCATGACCGCTCGGCTCGCGGTCCTGATGGATATGATCGCCTTGACCTGCAACGAATGCCTCCTGGCTTCCAGGCTGCCCTCCTTTACCTCGTGAACCAAATAGAGCGGACGCACTCCTGGCCCCGTCAACGCTCCGCACACTACGTCTGTACTTAAAAGTTACGATTTTCCAGCCGGAGCTGCAGGAGCACGCTCCGCGTACGTTTGTACTTAAAGGCTGCGATTTTCAAGCCGGAGCTGCCGCGGACCAGGGGGGAATCGAACCCGCGACCGCGGGATTGCGAAAGCAGGCGCGCAAACCACGAGACAACTTCCAATGGCCGTTTCGCGAGCAAGAATATTGCACGGCGCCACAGCGAGAGCACTTCGACACGCACAATCTCCGCAGAGGGTTCGCCGAGAAAAAAACAAATACGCACGGCGCCACAGCGAGAGCGCTTCGACGCACACGATCTCCGCAGAGGGTCGCGCGCGCACCGCAGAAATCGTAAAAAGTCCTCAGTTTTTGAACCTCGACCACGCGAATCTCCGCAGAGGGTCGCGCGCGGCCAGCAAAAATCGTAAAAAGTCCTCAGTTTTTGAACCTCGACCACGCGAATCTCCGCAGAGAGTCGCGCGCGGCCAGCAAAATCGTAAAAAGTCCTCAGTTTTTGAACCTCGACCACGCGAATCTCCGCAGAGGGTCGCGCGGGCATGCTAGAAATCGTAAAAAAATCCCAGTTTTTGAACCTCGACCACGCGAATCTCCGCAGAGGGTCGCGCGCAGCCAGCAGAAATCGTAAAAAGTCCCCAGTTTTTGAACCTCGACCATGCGAATCTCCGCAGAGGGTCGCGCGCGGCCAGCAGAAATCGTAAAAAGTCCTCAGTTTTTGAACCTCGACCACGCGAATCTCCGCAGAGGGTCGCAATCCCGAGCGACGATCAAACTCCCGCCCCGGCGCCTTAGAAACCTAAACTAACTTACATAGCTGCTAACGCCGAAGCTCTAAGCTCTACCTAACCTTGGCTCTATGTAACTTGGCTCTATGTAACTTGGCTCTATGTAACTTGGCTCTATGTAACTTGGCTCTATGTAGCTCTATGTAACTTGGCTCTATGTAACTTGGCTCTATGCAACTTGGCTCTATGTAACTTGTCCAAGGGCTCCGCACGGAAGAACCCTTCGCGATACTTTCCGGGAAAAAGGAAACCAACGTTGGCGGCTCAGGTTCAAGACACACCCAGTGGGGGGAGATTGAGCACATCCAGATCCGGGAAACCACCCCAAAGGCGGACCTTCGAATGGTGTTCATCTTGGGCGCGAGACCAACGGCATTTGGCATGGGGGGACTCCAAAAATGTCCACCGCCAATAACGGCCAACGCAGACCGAATGCTGAGCCTCCCGCACTTCTCCACCGCCTCGTGGAAGAGAGGCTCAGCCTCCGCCAGCTTGCCTCACGGGTCGGACACCCGGACACTCAGACATCCGGAACCATGGAAGCCTCCCCTTCAAAGTGAAGCCACAAAAGGAGATGTTCAAAAGTTCAAACGAAGGGTGTGAAGGTTCGTAAAATGGGGGGACCCCGAAATTGGTCCCATTGGTGTTCCTGCCAAAGAAAGAAACAACATATATATATATATACATATATAGAAACACCCTGCCTTGTGCTTGAAGAAGGCCCCCCAGGTTGTTGAGGCTTGCTAAGGTGTCCGAATGATCGTGGCCCAGCCGGGACCGACCTCGGGCCCAGGCATGTCCAGGCACCCAAACAGGATCGGAATTCACCAGCCTGCATGAACAAGGGCCCCAAAATTGGTTGCCCGCAAAGGAACAAACCAACAGGGGTACCTGTTCAAAAAGAAAAATCAGACCCATCTGGAAGCCCAAAAGAAAGGCTCCATCAAAGGTGCCGCCGTTGCGCCCAATTTGCCCGGATTCACGGCGCAGCCCTTGGAAACCACGCCAGGGCCAGAATCCATGTTGATCCGTTGCCCTTTCGCAAAAACTTGGGCTCCCGCAAGACCCGTGCTAGCCAAAAGCCAGCCAACAAAGCCCTGAGAGCTCAGGGCCCTGAAAAAACAAGCCTCTGGCAGATTCTCCTTGCAAAACCAAGAGGAAGATAAGGGAGGACCCCATTTTCAAGGTCCTTAGAACACCAGCACGACGGACAAAAGAAAAGGATAGAAAAGGCAAACCCCTCATAACTTTTCTCTCTGAGGCAGGGGCGCTTGTCCAGCGTTTCTCTGTAGAGGGGCTCGGCTTCCGCAAGCCTGCCTTGTGACATAACCAGCGTCCATGGCTCATGGTGACCATCCAACCACAATCCAGGCCAGAATTTCAATCAGGTCGAAAATGGTGGAAACCTGCTCAAACCAATGGTGTCAACGTATTGGAAGAATTGTGTAAACGTGTCCCTTCAGCGGGTGATCCCCTGCCTTGATCTTCCAGCACGGCCGCCAGGTGGTGGACGCTCGAGAGGGTGTATTCGTCATCGTCACCCAGCTTTCCTTGAACTTGAGAAGCTGGGGTTGGGCGTCCTCCATTTTGCAGCCAGAGCCGAATGGCCCAAATCAAATTTTCAGCAGCCAGGTATCATGGCCGCGCCGTGCACGAGGACTCTGAAAAGCTCTGGAGAGAACACTTGCAGACCTGTCCGCAACCTCAGCGTTGCAGACTCATGACTCACCACCGCAATGTGTTGGGAACACTGGAGGTAATCGCCAACCATGAATACTCCCAGCTGGCAATGTGTCTTTTATCCTCGCTAGGCTTGTGTTGCGAGCCTAGGCGCTTTTCCCCAGCTTTTGTGCGCCAAAATATGACCAAAAGTCCTCAGTTCATGACAGACAAAGGGAACCGCCCTGGTTGATTTAGACGATTTAGAGGGGTTATGCCACTTGCTCGTTTGAGCTGTGCCTAGCAGCCAGCTCAGACATGCAGCCCAGCGTGGACGCGTGGTCGTCGCCCAGCTCCAGGCGCAGCTTCTCCAGTCGCAGGCGGAGAAGCTTCAGCACTGCGTCCGCTTCGGCCACCGCGTCGTGCGCCGAGCCGCGCTCCTTGCAGTTGCCACCTTTGATTTACTTCAGACATCCCCAGATCGAAACAAAATACCCCGTCCACAAGGGAAAATGTATTGAACGAGGGCGATTTCAAGGCCCCCCCCCCGCATACATCAATTGGGGGATGGGGTTGTAACATGCGTTGATCATCTTGGAAAGCAACAAAGGCGCCCACAAGGTCAGGCTTGAACGAAACGAGTTGGGCCACCCAAAAACTTGGTTTACCTTTGAGTTTCCTCTACTTTAGTTGCAGCCCAACATAGTTGGCTAAATAATTGGAACAGGATTCTGGGATATCATATGAGCACCCCAAAAGAATAGCAAGGAAATTCTATTGCTAACCATGGCAATCATTTAGCTCCTTTCATTACCCCTATTTTGAGATGCAGACCCATTTCTGGCCGGTGTCGTCGGCCAATCTCACCACCCACACATCCCGGTTCCCGTGGACCGCGCGGCCCTTGTAGTCTTCTCCCAGCGACAAGTTGCGCTTGGCCATGTCTGGCCTAACAGCGTTCACGCGATCCAATGTCTCTTGTGAGGACCCCACCATACTCCCTTTGGGGGTTGATTAAAGCCGCAGCCAGCAGGAAGCCTGGGGCGACCATGCCGCAAGCCATTTCAAAAGGCCCAGGATTCAAAAGGGTATCTTTGCAAAACCATCTGCAAAGCAAGGCCGTGGCGCGTCTGCCTCTCGAAGATGTTGTATGCGATGGATTTGGGAACGATAAGTGGAACGCAGAACGCTGCGCGGTGACCGTCGGCCTTGCCACTGCCCCACTCTCTGTCGACGCGCTGGGACTCCGCATCGTTGGTGTCTGGTCCTTGAGACGTGCTTTGCCGAAAGCTGAGCAAGCTCACAGCTGGGGTCTCCGGCGCAGCGGGTCTTCGTTGCTGTAGTTGTTCAAAAGGATCCGAACGCGCATACCACACACCTGGGCAGCCGGGCAAGCGCGCCTCTGAACCTCTTGCACTGCTTCCCTGCCCTCTTCATGCCTTTTGTGGCCAAGCTCTTGTTCTCGGCCGAGCGTCGGCGGGCTCATGCTGCGTGGTGTAGACCCCTTGCCCGAAATGGGCCCGGTCGTCTGCCAGCGAGGCAAAGAGCTGGGCTGCGGACTGCTTCAGGTCGCCGACATTCCTGAAGCCGAGCTCATTGGTGTAATGGTAGAGGATAATGAGGTCCTCACCTGCCAAAATCACAAGAATCTGACGGGAATTGGTACTCTGCAACAAAGCCGCGCAAGCATGCGCCTAGTCGAATGCAACTTCCAGGCCTTCATTGCCAAACGCCCGCAGGTCGAACGCGTGCTGCCACACCTGCGTTTCTCCGTCCGCGCCCTTGAACGTGTAGGTGGCGATTTCACTCAGAGAGCTTTTGGCGTAGCTGCTGCCTTCAAAGAGCTCACCATTTAAGTACCTGGCAACAAGAGCGACCCTTCTGACACGATGTCCGGTGCATTTTTCTTCCAGGCCGAAAGCGCACTTCTCCTTGAAATAGCTGGAGAGCTCAGCATCCTGCCAGGGCATGTCTGGAATAATGTCGAAGTGAGCAGCCGGCCGAGTCGAAGGTGGCTGCATCTCAGTGCATGCTTTCTCTTGGAAGATCAATGCTCAATATGACTTGCTTCCCCAACTGGGCGCGGAAAAATGGTGGTCATGGTGATCCCAAAACATGCGGTCTGCCTCGCTCTTGCTTCGTAAACTTGGGGGAGTCGGAGTGTCCTTCAGCTCCCCAAGTCAACGGTAGACTAGTGGTAATGTCAAGTCAGACTGCCAACATCAAGTGTCAGTTCGTCGCTTGAGTCGGAGGCCAACCGGCAAAGTTTGCCTAGTTTTAGCACTGTTTGAGCCGCTAAGTTCAGGGTGTTCGCCTGTTCGAACCACTCCTGTGAAGGGCTTTACCCGAAAACTAACAGCCGTTCAAGTATCCGCCAACTTGGACTGGGAAGTCTTTTGAGTGCGAAGGCATGGACTTGCCATGAAACCAAAACCGCTTTGAATTACCAAAAGATCAGCCAAGGAAATGTTCAGGCACCTCAAGTAGGTACCCCCTTTCGTAAGCCTCTTGTTTTTGTAGGGCTTTGCCAGCCAGCACACCGGCCGAGTCGCAGAAAAGGCGACATCAAAGGTGCGGGGTATCCTGGCACTGAGCCACTTGAGATGTACCAAAACGGCTCTCAAAAGCGAACTGGATCAAAATAGGGGAGGTCAACTCCATGTTCAAGCATCACCGAAAGGTCACTGCGGTCGCTTCGGCGCCGCACACAGGCGCCTCTGCGCCAGGCAAGGGCACGGGCAGGGGCACAGCCGCCGCCGCTCCCATGCGAGCTCAACCCTGGAGCTATAGCAGCGAGACCCCTGAAAGATCCTGAAAGCATATTGGTAAAACCCCTGGCATGGGTAAAGTATATCTCTGAAATGAGAGAGAGAGAGAGGGAGAGAAGGTCACCTGTTGCCCCGAGCTCTGCAGCAGTACGCATGCCGGAAACCCTGAGCGCGCCCTGAGCACCTCGACGTCCCGTCTGCCAATGCTCACTCTATTTGTGACTTTGGCCTTCCTGAACTGGCTTGTTTCTTACGTTTCTTACTGGTTTCCCTGTAAAACCATGCAACACGGGTCCATTTTGAGAAACAACTTACGCGTCTTTGATGAAACTTCTGACGGCTGTCGGAAACCAAGGGGAAACCAACCATTTGATTCTGCCCTTTTTCTTCTTTTTGTTTGGTCCTTTGGAGGCAAAACCAATGGATCATTGGAAGCCTCTGACACCACCTGGGACCTCGGAGCGTGGCGCATGGCGAACCCGCGAACCCCAAAAAGGCGTTGGCTTCCCTTCAACACGGGCTGAAAGACACGCTCATATCGTGGGCGCCCGAAATTGGTGTTCTCCAAGGAAACAATGATGCCTCCATGTGTTTCCATGCTGAATAGCCAAACTCAACTATTTTGGCACTTTAACGAAAACTGAACCGGAAACCTGAAACCTGGCCGCGATAAGTTTAATTGCAGTTCACCAACTTGGCTGGTAAGATGCACTATGATCCATTGCAAGTAGACCATCCAAAAAGTCCAGCAAAATCTTTGGATCTCCGCAATGCCTCAAGCAAGCAAAGACCGTAGCTCAGCGAGCTGATGGCCCTCGAATCAGTGTGTCTACACAGGCATGTCACGTCTTCGAACTAGAGGGTTTTTCATTTTGAGACACACCCATATGAGCCAAGGACAACGTTATGTTCTGCGCCAAATCGTCACAGGAGCATTGCGCAGCTTCGCCTCCTTACTTTTGCACCTCTGCGCCTCTTCAGCTGCACAGGTTCGACTTTTGAACATGCTTCAGCTTCCGCCGTGCTGGCCGGAATTGCAAGACCCCTGTGTGCCGGACAAGCGGGATCAGCCAGGGCGTAGCTCGGCTTTCTGGACACGGACGGCGGCAACAAGCTCGCCACCTTGATGTCGCCGATTTCCAAGAATCTCCTCCTGCGTCGTGTTCCTCGACTCCAAGGTGCAGCCCCTCTCCAGGTCGAAGACCACCCTCGAGGAAAGCCATGGGCAATTTTTTAAGCAATTGCCAAAAAGCGACCATTTTCTCCTGGCATCGTAGCCGCAGACAACATCCCGCTGCGTGGTGCCTTCACGCTGTCCCCAAACGTAGCTCCTCTCACTCTGACACCTTGCCGCGCTCCTGGAATGCCAAGTCCGTTGTGGCATCCATCGCCGCAGGTTGACTAATTGCCCCCAGGTTAGCCGTTGGCCGCTCTCATAACATCAATCCACTGATTCAGAACACCTACCTATTGGCAGGGGGCCTACCCCCCCCCCTTTTGGCAAAGTGGCCTCAAGGACGTGGAACAAAAGACCTGTACATTTCTGAATGGGGGGTCGCCGCCTTCTGCATTTGGTTCTCCCTGCCCTCTTCATGCCTTTTGTGGCCAAGCTCTTGTTCTCGGCCGAGCGTCGGCGGGCTCGTGCTGCGTGGTGTAGACCCCTTGCCCGAAATGGGCCCGGTCGTCTGCCAGCGAGGCAAAGAGCTGGGCTGCGGACTGCTTCAGGTCGCCGACATTCCTGAAGCCGAGCTCATTGGTGTAATGGTAAAGGATAATGAGGTCCTCACCTGCCAAAATCAAGATCTGACGGGAATTGCATGTGAGCTAAAAGGAAAGAACAAAGCTTTGGGGGCCTTCGTGGCCACCAAACGCCCGCAGGTCGAACGCATGCCGCCAGACCTGGGTGTCTCCGTCCCTGCCCTTGAACATGTAGGTGCGGATTCGGCTGATAGAGTTCTTGGTGTACTTGATTCCCTCGAAGAGCTCACCCTTCAAATACCTGGCAAACAAAAGCAACCCTTCTGGCTCGGCTATGACTTTTACGAGAGCAACCCTCTCAACAATGGTTGGTGGACACAAGTCCTACCATGTAAACGATGTCCACCAAAGGGCCCCAAATACATTTCAGCACCGCTCAACTTTTGGCGTGCTTGCTGAAGTCAAATTCCGAAGGCGCACTTCTCCTTGAAATACTCGGAGAGCTCAGCATCCTGCCCGGTGTGAAAGACGAGCAGGCGGAAAATGCCAAAGACATGTCTTGTGCCTCCCAGTCACTATCTTGCGCGATTGAATCGCTACCATGTCCACTTGAGTCGCTTTTCCCCCTAAAGATGTCAGTCGATCACATTATGTTGCTCCTTTTGCGATGCCAAATCCTTGTTGCAGTAGGCACACAGAGTCTGCGGGGCAAAGAACAAAGCTACAAGTGAGCCACAACCAACCTTGGTATCAAGGGAATCTATCAAAGCCACATGGGTATGAGCTTTGAATATTGATGGCGACCTTTTGGTGGACATACTTTGCATGGCGATGTACGTCCACTGACCATGTTTGAGGGATCCCCTATAAAACTCACGCCCGCATTCACAATGACAGGAGTAGAACGCCACCTCAATTTATGGGCGGAAATGTCCCCTATCCTCCAGTTGCTCGTTGGCTCAACCGATTTTTGCCCAAGCCACGGTTTCACTTGGCTTCCTCTTAAGGTGGTCAAAGGCTCCAACCAGCTTTGCCTTGGACCGTGAAAAGAAAATCGGCGTGAAACTGTCACCAAGTTTGACTGGCTGATGCCAACCTTTCCCGATCGGCCAGACATCCTTGGATGCTCCGGCCAAGGGCAGGGCCGCCGCTGCCCCCATTGCCAAGTGTGTCGCGGCCCAAAACAAACGCGTGTGTTCTCAGAACTCAGAAAAAGGGTGTCAAAACCAGTCGGGCCCCGCTTTTGGGCCCGGCCTGTCGGAAACTGAAACCATTGGCATTCGGCAGGGTCCCAGTCGAAACTCTGGGAGTTCCGTGGGGCCGCTCCCGCTCGTTTTCGCTTTCCTCTTGCGGGACTATTCATGGCTCTTGAAGCGAACAGAATGGTTGGAATCAGGGCCTGGAAACTTGCTCAATGATGGCAAAGGATTGCGTCAACGCTTGAGCACACAGCCCCCAGGCTGCCATAAAGAAGATGGTTGCAGCAAATTGCGCAGCATTCAAGGAAGGTGTCTTTGGGACTTGCCACTGATCTACGGAGTCTTCGCTTGGGCGTGTGTCTAGGAAGATGTCGTGGAGAGTGTCGGAAACTCGGTTTCGTGGCCTCAATCAGGATGGAAAAAAGTTATTCCTTATAATATCAACAATTCATATTATATATCATAATCCCACCTCACTTTAACAATGCTCCTAGACAATTTTGCATTCGACATTGTCCACCATTATTGTTTATGTCTGCAAATGAAAACAACATACAGTACATTGATCGGTTGCTTCATTGTGTGAAATAGCACAAATTTCCTGTATGTGTTGCGACTTCTTTTCTGCAAGCCCCGGCTCTGTACAATGAGCTCACTCGCTCCGGGTCTGAGCAGGCGAGGGGCTTTTGGAGGAAAAGCTGTGTTCTCGCCCCCAAATTCCGCCACCTTAAACGCCAATCATTGACACAATCTCGAGCGTCAACTTCAACTAAGTTCAACTAGAGAGGCCAAGCATAGACCCCGTGAACGGCTGCAGATACTGGAAACCAAGATTCCTGGGCTTTGGCCTCCGCCCCTTACCTGGACCCGGACAACGCCAGGACTCAGCAAGACCCCGGCCACGCAGGCACCAGGCAAGACGGCGCGAGAGATTGAAACAATGACTGCGGCAAAAGAAGCTTGCCCAAAAAAGGTTGTAAACGGTTTACCGCACGCTCCTTAAATCGATTTTGCCCAAGTGACACGGAATGGCTCAACATGTAGCGGTCGACAGGTTGGGGGGGGCAAAGAAAGAAACCGGCGCAAGCCTTGTCTTGTAGGGATGGCCAATCCTTTGCCGGCCCAACCGCACCGCCACATTCAAACAAAAAACAATCCGAGATTCAAAAGGCCAAGCGTTGCAAGAAAATGCTTGCGACCGCAGGGATATGCCTACTTGAAGGAGGTTTGGTACCTGGAAGCAGACTGTCCTTTTGACGAGACAGAACAGCATGGCTTGACCGCGCCGTCTACGCACCAGCCGCAATCTTCAAGAGCGCCTTCCGCGGAAGAGACCCTGGATCGCCAAAACGGGATTAATTATCAGGCTGCAGGGGCATGCAACTCATCAACGCTCTCTTTGTTCGGCGTTGGGAAGCACCTCCTTTGCAAGCTTGATGACTTTTGTCCAGCCTCAGTACGTGGCAATTAGCATGCGTAGTCGCTTACAAACACAGAGGAGAGTGCACGGGATGGAACTTCTAGACCCTGTGCCACAAACCATTCTGTTTGCAAAGCATCCGCCGCAGTCAAAATCCACCCCAAACTCCGAAGCGCCGGGCAACGGCTGAGGCGGAATGCGGCTGGCGGTTCTAAACTCTCCACCCCCTTTTGCAGCGACATTTGTTTTTGCGCAACTGCGAGCCAGCCAGCAGTTTGGCACGCAAGCTGGTGCAGCAAAACGAAAAACGCAGGAAAAGCTGGGGCAGCACAGCCTTTTGCTTGGGCAGCCTCTCTGCCATCCTAGTCG